CTCCTTCTTAAATTTCGATTTAATAGTTAACTAATACCTAATTAAACCAACGTATCAGCTTCTGGATTATAATCATGGTTAAAAAAAAATTTATGTAAGTTAAAGGTAGGTTATTGTGTTGGTGGTTCCAGACAAATTGACAGTTTAAAAGTTGAATATAGTCACATATTTTTAATACTTTAGAAGTTAGATAGAGCACATTAGGATTAAATTTAATATTCTGAAAATAAATAATTTTTAAAGCCTCATTTTGGAGGTGGGATAATAAGATAAATATATCTTATTAATTATTAAGATACATAAACGCAAGTAAAATATTATTTAAATCAATAGAAATATGTTTTTGTTTCGTTTTAGTATTTTTCAAAATTTATATATATTTTAAAGGTTTATGTATATTTTGCTTTGTGTATATAAATATTAATAATATGTAATCGCAGCTCAGTGATGATCTTTTTATTGCTCCGGCCCAAAATTATATGTTGTCACATTTTTAGGGGTTTTTTGAGTAAATGAAATGTATAGTTTATTCAGTGGCGGAACTTCAAAATTTGGGCCCCCCCGCAAAAGAATGTTTTTTTTGCGGAAAAGAGTTTTATAGTATAAATATTATTGAGAGTATAACTTTTTTTATATGAGGGCCCCCTATAGCTGGTAGGCCCCCCCGCAACGCAGGGTCCTGCGTCCAGTAGTTCCGCCACTGAGTTTATTTTATACGTCTTAAACTAATCAGAAAATATTTATTTTTTTTACATTAGTTTTATTGTAATGTATAAGAAAAAGTAGCATTAATTTTTCTCGTCTTTTTTTTTTTTTTTTTTTTTATTTATTATTTTTTCTTTTCCAGGTATACTATATAAAATATACATTTATTATCGTGATAAAAAGAAAAAAAAAAAATTATTACGTATAAGATTGATAAAAATACATTAATATAAATTTGATACATTAATATAGTATTGATGCAAACTTAATATAAATTCTGGTATAATAACTATTATATATATGTTTATTTTTTTCTATACTTCAATACCTAAAAAAAGGAAATCAAAGAAGATTCAGCACTTTTGGGTATAAAACTCCAAAAAAAATCTTTTCGCAGATTCCCTTAATAGCGCCTTTTGGCGTATATCTATGTCTATATAAAGAGTTAATTAAGTAAAATTAGAAATATTTTTTTGTAATTAGCTTTGTAATTACTATTTCTACTGTTATATATAATATATATATATATATATATATATATATATATATATATATATATATATATATATATATATATATATATATATATATATATACATATACATACATACACACACATACACACATACATACATACATATATATACTAGGTTGGTTGAAAAGTTCGCGGAGCGGAAATGAAAAAACAATTTTATGATTCAAAAAATGACTTTATTCTTCAGTATATTCTCCCTTAAGAGCAATACACTTTTTCCAACGATTCTCCAATTCATGTATCCCATCTCTGAAGTGCGATTCCGGAAGGCCTTCAAAATACCCATTTACGGCTGCAATGACTTCTTCATGTGATGAGAAACGCTTTCCACGTAGAAATTTTTTGAGATGTGGAAAGAGGTGGAAGTCGGACGGAGCCAGATCTGGTGAATAGGGTGGATGTTCCAAGCGTTCGTACTTTAATTCGACCAATTTCGCCTTTGCAACATCGCTGATATGAGCAGGTGCGTTGTCCTGGTGATAAATGATTTTTTTATGCAGCAAACCAGGTCTTTTCTCACGAATTTTTTTATCCAACTGGTCCAAAAGATTTTTATAATATTCACCTGTTATCGTTTTACCGGTTTGAAGGTAATCTATTAATAAAATTCCTTTCGCATCCCAAAAAACTGATGCCATAACCTTCTTTGACGATTTTGACGCCTTCACTTGCTTCGGAGCTGAACAACCGGGTTCTGTCCACTCTGCAGTTTGTTGTCGCAGCTTCGGATCATAGTGGTAAACCCAAGTCTCATCCATGGTTACGAATCGACGCACAAAATCTGTTTTATTCTTTTGAAAACGGGCCAAATGTTCTTGAGAAAGTTTTACTCGAGTGCGTTTCTGATCCAGAGTTAGCGAATGCGGCACCCATCTTGCCAACAGCTTTCTCAGACGTAATTCATCGTGCAAGATGTGTAATACCCGTTCATCTGAGATGCCCACAGCCTCAGCAATTTCACGTTTGGTCAATCGTCTATCATCCATAACCATGTCATGCACAGCATTAATCGTTTCTTCAGTAGTAGCACTTTTTGGACGTCCAGAGCGAGGGTCATCTTCAAGGCTTGAACGCCCACGTTGAAACTCCGCAGCCCATTTGCATATTGTTGTTTTTGAAGGAGCATCATCACCCAACACATTTACCATTTCATTATGAATTTCCATGGGCTTTAAACTTTTTTTCACAAAGAATTTTATTACAGCACGATGTTCAATATTTTCCATTTTAAAAAATACTATGACACGTCTAATTTCAATAGCTTGTAAACAAAGACTGAAATGACATATCGACTTGAAATTTTTTATGCGTTCATACGAAGAATGAATACGTTTAATACAGTTATAAATTTGTTTCTACTACTGCAACATAGGTGCCGCTCCGCGAACTTTTCAACCAACCTAGTATATATATATATATATATATATATATATATATATATATATATATATATATATATATATATATATATATATATATATATATATATATATATATATATATATATATATATATATATATACATGCACATATACACATACACACACACACACACACACATATATATATGTATATATACATTTTATTTATTTATTTTTTTATTATTATTATTATTTTTTTTTTTTTTTTTTTTTTACTTTTATTTTTTTTTTTTTACTTTTTTTTTTTTTTTTTTTTTTTTTACAAACTAAGAATATGCAGCTTTGCTTGCCGTTTAAACGACGATATTCCATTTAAGTCTTTTAATTTTTGATTTTTCAAGTTTTTACATATTTTAAGACCCTGTGACATAATTGAAAATTCAGAACCCCGGGTTTTAGTTTTTTTAATATAATAGTTATGAAAGCTATTTGATCGTAGATTATAACTTTGAGAAAATGATGACGAGAATATGTCTAAAAAAGAATTTGGTAGCATATTATTTTTATATTTGAACATAAAAATAAGAATCTGATATAAATTAAGTTTTCCCAATTTTAAGACTTTCATATTTGTCATCGCATTGGAAGGATTGTCCATTCTACCTAGATAATGAATTGCTTTACAAGCATGGTTTTGCTAGCCTTGTAGTTTGATTAATCTTGTTTTGTGTGTATTAGCCCACACTATATTAGCATATGTGAGATGACTGTGAATTAGAATAAAGTAAAGTTTTTTTCTTGAACAGAAATCAAGAAACGGGCGACATTTATATAAAATACCTATTGCAGATGATATTTTTGTTTCAATGTGTCCAAAATGATTTCTCCATGATAAATTTTTATCAATATGAACACCAAGAAACTTTGCATATTTTTCCCGTTTTATTATGTTGTTAATGAGCAATTCTGGAATTTTTAACGGTAGAGACATTGATTGACCTGTTTTATGAAATAAGATGTAGTTAGTTTTTTCACTCAATATCAAGAACACTTGAGTCTTTGTTTATTACAAACTGCTTTCTGTTACTCAGATAGCTTTTTACCCATTTATACATTAGTCCTTTGATACCATAATGTTTTAATTTTGATAGTAAGATGTTGTGGTCAACTGTATCAAATGCCTTTGTAAGGTCTATAAATACTCCCAATACATGATCCCCTTTATCAAAAAATTGAAATGTTTTATTAGTAAGTTCAATGATAGCATGTTCTGTTGAGCATCTTTTTTGAAAACCAAATTGATTTTCATATAAAAGTTTGTTTAACTTTAATTAATAATAAATTCGATTGTAGATTACTTTTTCATAAACTTTAGAGAACACTGGTATGAGGGATATTGGACGGTAGTTAGACATATTATTACAATCTCCATTTTTATAAACAGGATTGACTTTAGCAATTTTTAGCATATCAGGAAAAGTACTGTGTTCAAAAGAAGACGATATTAGATGAAATAAGGGTTTTCAAATACATTCAATGACGTGTATTGCTACATTGCTAGTAATGTCATCATATCCGCATGACTTATTTTGCTTTAGTTCAGTCAGAGCTTTGTTAAATTCTTTATAAGATATTTTTTCAGTTGATATACACGATAGGGTTTTTTTTCCAATAAATTCATCAAACTTCTTATTTGGCATCACTATTTTTGAAGCTAGACTGGGACCAAGATTTGTAAAGTGTTTGTTAAATTCATGATAAATATCAGATTTGTTTGTAATGTATTTATTATCACAAAATATTTTTTGAGGTATGCTAAAGGATTTCTTTTTTTCTCTACCAGTTACTTCATTTTAACAATAAGTTTTAACATAAAAAAATAGTTAAGCAGTTGTGAAATAATTATGACTTATATGGCCAAAAAGTTTCAGACCGGTTGAGGCTTTAAAAAACCTCGTTCGATGACTCCTACGCTTCCACCCCTTCCCCCCCCTCCTTGTGATTGTGGTAGTATGTAATATGTATTGGTTGTAAATATATGATGCGGCAAAAAAAAAAATTATCTTTAAATTATTTGAAGACGATTTGGTAAAAATCAGCTGCTTATTTTTTAATTTTATGTTTTAAAAATAACAAAAAATAATTTAAAAATAAAAATAACAAAGATGTAAACTTCAATGAACCAAAACAAATATCTCTTCAATTTGAAAAATAGTAAAACTTCAATGTCACACGAACCCTTTAACAAAAGTTTTAAATCGTTTTATTCTTCATTTCGTTTATGAGTAAACAAAGAAAAAAATTTAATTTATGTTTATAATAATCAAAAGACTCCGAAAGTTTTGCAAACAAAAAGTATATATTTATTATATTATACGCACAAAAAGTATACATTTATTATATTATACACACACAAAATACGCAAAAAAATACGCATATTATATATTATACGCACAAAAATTAGAATAAGTTTACTAGAGAACGTATATATATACAAGTTAAAATATTGAAACACTAATAAAATGTTTTTAAGCATTTTTTTCTATTTATCAATTATACACTCCTTCTTTGCTGAAGAATTTTTGTTTCCCTTAAGTCAGTATATGGAAGGCGTGAACGTCACTAACACAGCTCAGTTTCTATGCCAACATCAAGATTCAAGTTTAAAATTATGTAACTGTCACAATGACTGCTTCACGTCAAAAACATGTTGCATTGATAAACTATGGAACAACTCAAATCCGCTGCCTTTAGATTTATACCTAGAAACACTTGTAAAAACGTCAAACTTACATAAAGATATGGCGTGTGAGCAAGTTATCCCGGTAGCCACACATTCAGGACATGTAAGTGAAAAAATTTTAATGGTGCATTATTGTCACGACGGTGCTGAGAGTAATGCTATCAACACATGCTTAAACAATAGCGACGCACAATATGTAAAAAACATTCCCGTTATAGGTCTAAACAATATAATTTATAGAAATGCTGGTTGTGCGCGGTGCAACTTTGCTCAATTTTTTGCTTTGAATTTTTTATTTGAATGTCAGTTAGAAACTAATAAAGAAATAACTTTTGTAAAAGCATTTAAAATGGATGATCTTGGTAATGATGAGGATGATTTTCTTAACAAGTATACTAATTGCAATATATCATTGATAAGAAATAAAGAAATAAATAATCATATTTTTAGTTGTTTTTCTCAAGACAATTGTCCAAGGGATAATAAGTATCATGATTTATGTAATGCGTACTCAGGAGTGTACCTAAACTATAAAAACTACGATTGCTTTAGATGCTCCCTGGAAAAAATAATCAGACCATTTATAAATATAGAGTTGTTTAATTTAAATGAAACTAAAGTTGGGTCTAGTTTTATATCAGAGACTGTGTCTATTGTTAATAACCTTGATTCATACCCCACCTGTAAAACAGGATTGTCCTACAACTACTTCACCACTAAATGTGAAAAAATCATTTGTTGCTATGGATACACAGTAGTTGGTTCTGAATGCTTAGATTTACAAAAAAAACTACAAATAAAAAAAGTTGAGAACGCAAGTTTTGAAACTTGTCTCACTAGCGAACAACTTGGCCTATATGTTATTATTGATAACTTTAAAACTATGAAAACAGACTTTTTTTCTGATGAAGTATCCACTAATTGCAGTGTTGTCAAACATGATAATTTAAAAAACTTAACTTTGTTACAATGTAACATGTCAGTTACCGATTCTTTAGCAAATTTTATTAAAGATAAGGAAAGGTTTACAACATTTAAGCCGATCGGGTTTACGTCAATTTTTATTATGTCAGTTTATCATCAGCTATATACAGACCTTTATGGTATCGATTTTATAAGGACTTTTAGTAATAATAAATTATGCGCACAACCCGAAGAATTAGATATTGCTGAAGGAAATTTCACCAGCTCATGTGATTACATAACTTCATATAAAATAATTAAAAACGATGACCTTATTATATGGATTGAAGCTAGTAAAAACACAATAAAAAAAAGGTTAATCACTTGCAAGAAATACCATTTAAAATCTAACTGTGTATTGAGACCGCTGACAAACAATTATATAGTAAGAAACAAAACACTAATTTATAAGTTCATGAACAACGAATACAACTTTACTGAGGATCAGTTTCTACCATTGGTTAAAGGATTAGGAGTATGCGAAAATTCATTTTCGAAATATGAGAATCTTTTAAACTATGTTGAAGATCTTTTGTCAGTAATTTTAATTTCGGTTAGTATCGTTTGTTATTTTATCATAGTCATAACCTATGTTTACATCAAAGAATTGAGAATTATGCCTAACTTTAATTTAGTAACACTGTGCAATCTTTTATTTTTATCCGATTCATCTATATTAATAGCTTTATATGGTAGCAAAAAAGAAAAGTTATGCAAATGCATAGCTGTTATTTTACATTGGAGCTTATTGGCGGTGTATGTTTGGGTATTGTGCACAGCAGTTGAACTGGCTTCGAAATTTTCAAGATTTGCTTCTAAGTCAAGTCGTAAAATATTTTTTACATCAAGTGTCTTTATTTCAATTATAGTTCCAACAATAATTGTGTCAGTGACGCTTCTGTTAAATTATACTGGAACAGCTGATGTTGGGTATGGTAAAAATGAACACTGTTGGATTGGTGGATTTTATGCAAGGCTTTATGCTTATACTTTACCGTTGACCGTAGTTTTATTTTTATCGTTTTTATGTTTACTTTTAACAATCTTTAATATAAGAAAACTTGAAAGCTCAAACAGAAAGATATTAGGCAATAGCAGAAAGTCACGAGTGGACCTATTTATGATTACCATGAAACTAACAATAATCCTTGGTGTAACTGATGCCCTTGTTTTCATTAAAATATCCAAAGATTTGTTGTCTGAATGGGAGAAAATATTCAACGCAGTATTTTCAGTAATTTACACGTGTTGTCGATCTTCGAAAGGAGTTATGCTTTTTTTTGTCTATATTTGTACAAAAAAGGTTTATAAAATATACAAGAAGCGTTACTTTTTGAAATATTCTCAATATCGTCACAGAGTTTACGAATTTAACGAACAAATATCTTTAAGTGTGCAAACCTGGCTTTCAACAAAAAAATGAGCAAATAAATAAAAAAATTTAGAAAAACAAAAATAACGCAGAACAAGTTGTTAAAATATTAAGTTTTACTAATAAATACATAACGTTATTATCTATATACCTCTCACTTATTATATAAAAAAAAAAGATCTTTAAAATGAGAAGGAGAAAACTGTAAAACATCGAAATTTAATGAGTATTATACGAAATAAGGAAAATTATGTTGAAATTTTCTATTAAAAATTAGCTCACTACTTGATGTAATTTAGACCCTAAAAAACTATTATCTTTTAAAAATCACTGGCAACATCGTTTTTTCAAAACAGCAACACAAACTATGTTTTAATTAAATTTTGTAATTACATTGTAATGATCCTTTATATTATTAGATGTCGTTAGTAAAATAAGAAAAAATTCACACTATTTAATTAAGTTCCAAACAGTAAATTTTACGTTATATATATATATATATATATATATATATATATATATATATATATATATATATATATATATATATACACACACATATATATATATATATATATATATATATATATATATATATATATATATATATATATATATATATATATATATTTTATATATTCAGAACCAGGGCCGGCGCGAGTAGGTGTCACTAGTCTAAAAGGGTCCAATTTGCCGACTAAGGGTCTAATTTGCCGACTAAAAATCATTGATGGGGGAGGGGGTGTGTGTGTGACACCACCCCCACGCCCCCCTATCGCGCCGGCCTTGTTTAGAACCACTGTGAAATGAATAATTGCGTTCTTTATATAAATGTACACATTCATGTTAAGTATCCTCAGTATAATACATATCTCAGTTATATACATATACTATTATATGTGTATAACTGAGATATGTATTACTCATATCATACCTGGATTAAAGGTGTCTAAGAGGGAAGTAAAAATCTCGGGCTAGCAAATAACGTTGTTCTTTTTAGTTTTAATATAACTTTTTTACTTTTGCTTAGCTTAAGGCTCTGCTCAACTTAATCCAAGCTAGGATAATTTATGTTAAAAATATCTTTATAGCCTCACTAAGTAAGTTTTACTTTATTAAGCATTATCTGCTTGCAATTTTTTCGGTGTTTTAGGTAGTCGAAAACACTTTGTGAGTTTTGGGCTCAAAAGATTTTGTTATTTTTTGTTGTTAGTTGAATATTGAATACATTTTATTGAAATAACAAGTAATACAAAGGAATTTTGTTTTTCATATTTATGTTATATTTACAGTTATATATTTGTTGTTTGAAAAGTTGTGTGAATAAGACATGTCTTAATTAAAATGGATATATGGAAATAGCAATGAAAAACATAGAAAAGGTTATCGCACATAAGCTGGATAAATAAAAACACCCTTCTCAAAAAAGTAAGTTTTAAAGTTATATAAAAAACAGGAAAAACCGTTGTTAATTTATAGCATCATGTGATTTTGGAATTAGACTCCCTTCCCCCCCTCCCCCCGTTTCGTTCTCTCTGATAATTTTAAAATTGTAATTGTTTGACGACAAATCAAACATGCAGTATTGTCTTTTTACTTGAATAAAAAAGAACAAGTTTTTCCATTCATTTTAAAACTTCTATTTTTATCTTCAAGTTTTCTTTTCTTTTTTTCAACATTTCTTCCAGCCATGACGAATAAATCTCTAACAAAATTGAATATGATATTTACATGAATTAAAAAAAAACAGTAAATATGATAAACACAAGCTAACGATGCGACGAGCAAACATAATATCCAAAAGTTTAACCGTTGATTTAAGGAAATAAATTTCTCTTTTGTTTTCGTTTCTCTTTTCGGTTGAGCCTAGTTTAATACTACTGTAATTTTTTTAAATTAATGTTAAAGTTGGGATCTGTGATTAAAGGTTAAGCAAATTTTTTTTTTTTTTACATTATATCTAGAACAATATTACACACATATAACGATAAACTTCTTGAATAACTTTTATCAAAATCTTCAATAAGCTAATGATCCATTGTTTTTATTTTTTAAAGAACTCATTGCTGAAAATATAAATGTTATCAAGTCTATGCTGTTGCCTGAGAAGAACCTGAAAAACTTGTATGCATCAACAACTTTTTGTAGAAAGCGTAGAACTATGGGATATTTATTAAACCCTCCATGGCTTCTTATAGCAATGAAAAAAACTTTTAAATGGTCTTGTCATAATTTATAAGCTAAAATATACCTAAGGCTGTAATCACTCTTTTGAACATAATAATTCCATATTCCTAAATAAACTTCAGATTTACAACCAACCACGTTTTACTTTGACTTAAATAAGCGCGGGTTTAGCTTTCTAAAAAAGTTAGTCAATAAATGGTAGCGCTACTAGATATGTGTGAGTGGGGATGGGAGTGTGGGGCGAGGGTTGGTGATTTGAGGGGGGAAATTTAAAGGGTTCAAAATATTTTTAAGAAACCAGTGTTAAAGAGTTTTGTTAAAGAGTTTACAAACTCTTTAACAAAAAGCCTCAAACGGTGTTGCATTACGGATGCCACTACGGACACGGACCATTGAATCCACTCAATCTGCCAAGCTTGAGCTTAATCTGATTGTCGTAAATTTGCATCTCTTTTTCTTTTCTACAAATACTATCATGGTCGCTGCTTAAAGGAGCTACTATCTCTAGTTCAATTAACTAAAACTTATTCTTGTTTGATTCGTCATTTAGCAAAGTCTCATATAGCAGCAACATGCATCATCATGCCCCTGACCTTGACAATTAGAAATATCAAGAGAATAATCTTTAAAACATGGTAAATAATTTTGCAAAGAGGTTCTACTTATAAACCATATTTGCAGTCAAAAAGACCGATGAATTCTTCTTTATCATCAAAAGAACCATCTAATAACCTAAATGGATGTAATCAGATGCTTCATCAGCAATTATTGAAAAAAATTGCTGTCGAAGCATCTGATTACATCTAGATTATTTTAATTTCCTTTATATTGGAAATTAAATTATTCTGGATGTATTTTCCACAACAGGTTATTAATTCATTTTGTGATGAATTAGAAATATAAGGTACATTCTTTGCATAGCTGTTAAGATGATGTAAAAGAACTTTATCTTCACTTCTGATAATTTAAAAGTTCAACTTTTAAATTTCCTAATCCACTTACCAAAGAATACTTTCCAACAGTAGAATAATGTTGAGAATTATCATGATGACCTCTAAAAGCTATATTGAAACGACCTAGGAGAATGATTTGAGTCAACAATTGAACGCAATTTGTTACCATTTAAAGACACCTCCTTTTTTATATTTATATATGATTAAAGTATCAATAATTTGAATACTCCCATACATTGTATTGAAAACTGCTGAAAATACGGTCCAGATGTTATAATGAAGACTTTATACAGCTAAGTGATGATAATTTTTTCTTTTTTCCCACAATGTCTTTTAAAAGCATTCACAGCATCAGGTCAGTACTTTACAGGCTGAGAAAACAAGTTTTCTAATAGATAAGAATTTAAACCCAAACAAAACACAAGTTAAACAATATGCTCCATCTTCCGAGGGTAAATAACTAATAAGCCGTGAGAATTGCTTCAACCATATACATTTGAAAGATTGTCATTTATTTTTGGAAAAGAATAGATATCATCAGACACAAAAACATTTCTAATTAAGTTTTATTTTTGCAAATCATTTGAAATAGATGCCATTGAACGAAAGCATATTCACTAGAGAATTCACTTGACAACTATCTATCAAAAAGTGTTTTCACCTGCGATACGGAAAGAATCTATTACCAGAATATTCATACTTATTGGACATCGACACGCCTATCGAATCAACTGGTTCAAAAAAGATATTGGGATATTTATTTCTTCCGATATGGAATTTTCTAAACACTGTTCTCACATTGCTAGCAAAGCAAGTTCTTGTGCTTACTTACTCTTAAAGTCTTTCATCAGTAATGATTCCCAACTTTTGATAAGAGCCTATAAAGTTTATATTCGACCAATTTTAGAGTCATGTACCCCTGTGTGGAATCTCCTAAAATATATACGTCGGGTAGAAAAGGTCCAGAAACATTATACAAGAATTGTCTGCAAACGGTGTTGTATTTCATATAAAGATTATGCTTTAAGACTTGATATCTTCAATCTTGACTCTCTTGAATGCCGGAGAATAAAATTTGATCTTTTAATGACTTATAAGATTATGCACAACTTAGTTGATTTGCCTTTTTCTGAGTTTTTTACTCTCGCTCCTACTCATTATTCAACTAGATATCATTCCCAAAAATTAACATCACGTAACAACTCACGGTCGTTTAGATATTAGTAAAAAGCGCTATGTTTAGGTACACATGCATAAGAAAATACGAAAAACTTTTGAACTTTTAAAATGGCTACGGTACTTAACTACAGAGAATATTTTATATGGCAACAGATTATTTGTTAATTAATTTCTGAAAAGCCAATGATGTAGCCTTATGTTTAACGTAAATCAATATAAAAATACAAAAACTTCACAAAAAATATAAATAAATAGAGGTAACAAAAATCTTTGCGCGTTTAAACTTTATTTTTATTTAATACCTTTTTAATGTAAATCATAGATTTGTTTATTTATTTGAAATCAATTTTCTAAAAATCTGACTGTAGGATTTCAAAAATTTTTTTTTTAAACTTCAGATAAATATGTTCTTTATGTATGATATTTTTCTGGTCAATGCTTCAACTTTTTTTCCATATAAAAATTTGTTTTTACTGTTATAACTATTTCCTTATACATCAAAGTGCAATTTCATTAATTATTTTGTTAATTACTATTTTTCTGACTATATATATATATATATATATATATATATATATATATATATATATATATATATATATATATATATATAAATAGTCAGAAAAATAGTAATTAACAAAATAATTAATGAAATTGCACTTTGATATATTAGGAAATAGTCATAACAGTGAAAACAAATTTTTATATGAAAAAAAAGTTGATGTATACATACATACATATATATATATATATATATATATATATATATATATATATATATATATATATATATATATATATATATATATATATATATATATATATATATATATATATATATATATATATATATATATATATATATATATAGTTAGTAAATACATTTATAAATAGTCATAACAGTAAAAACAAATTTTTATATAGAAAAAAAGTTGAAGCAGTGACCAGAAAAATATCATAAATATAGAGCATATTTATCTGATGTTTAAAAAAAAAATATTGAAATCCTACAGTCTGATTTTAAGAAAATTGATTTTAAATAAATAAACAAATCTATAATTTTCACTAAAAATTTATTAATAGAAAATAAAGTTTAAGTACTCTAAGATATTTTTTATCCTTTTTTTAATAATTTAA